AAAAACTCTCTGATTTGATCTTCACCTTCAATCACCTCACAAACTTAACTTTAACTTGATAAAAAATGCATCTCTTAGCAGCTCTGTGATTTCAAACTTTCACCTCCTTTTTACAGCTCTAAAAATAAACATGCCACTTGATAAGGACAGGTGTCAGACAGTGACAGTGAGGGATATCATTCAGAGCTGGAGATTTGAGAGCAGGTTGACAAGAACAAGTGAAGAATAGAAGTGTGTAAACGTCAAATGAGAAATCACACAATACACACCATTGGACAGTCACCTTTGATGGGTGAGGAAAGTTTTCTGTTTACTTCATCAACCTCTGCTGTATCTGTCTCTGTTGGTATCTGGGTGAACGACGATGAATGTGTCACAGTCCTGGTGAGGAAGAGTAACTAGGGTCAATACACAATTTCTATATTGTTGAAAAACTTCTTTTAATTTTTTTAATACCAGTGTTAGTTTCTCATATTTGATGTGTCAAACTCATTTTACTTACAGTACCTGGCCAAAAAAAAAACTAGAGCCTGACTCAGGATCTGTTTTCTGAGTCAGGAGTTCTACTACCTACGACTACTTCATCTGCTTCTCACCTAAGAGCATTTTCTATCACCACCACATCTACAGACAAACAACAATTCACAGCACAAAATTAAGTGTTCAAGCTGGTGACCTTCTAGGTATAAGGCAGAAGGGCTACCCACTCAGCACTGTGTAGCCCACAAAGATTTCATTCAAATGTTCTTCGTTTCTTTTTTACCCATGAGCTTCATGACAGAAGTAAAGAGTGTGGACTACAGTTGACTATAGTGACTCTACAGTGATCACAGCTGAACAGGATGAACACACACACAGCCATAGCAACAAGAAGGAAAACTCCGTATTATTAACTCCGACATGACACTTGCCCTTTTCTACTAAACAAAAGCTCCATCTGAGGGGGACCAGGCTGCAGCGGAAGCTGATCTGACCTCAGGTTGGAGGGGACACAGTCTGTGTCTGAACTTTGGCCTTTCTCGTCCACAGCCTCCTGCTCTGGTATCTGTCTGAGAATGTCAGTGCTGACGTCAGAGATGCTTTCGTGAGGCTGCAGCCGTGTGTCAGCGTTGCGAAGACAGGGGGAGAAAGTGAGGCGTGGAGACTGAAGTCATAGTTTACTCCAGTCTGACAAATGTTGGTGGGAGTTTGAGACGCTGCTACTTTTTCCACACCCATATCATGATAGCTAAAGATAAATGAGAGGGATATCATCTGTATTTGGCCTTAAGTGTATTTTGTATTTGCTTTATTTGTTGAATGTAAATTTAAACATTTAAATTGCTTAATCAAAGTCTTGCAAGTGATACTGTGACTGATTTACTGCTGCCCAAGATTCATCAAGTCGTGCTGTTTTTTGTTTTGTTTTTTTAGTTTTCAGAAACACTCTTGCTGCCTCGCAAATATCAATGGTGACAGGAAAAAAAAGCACCATAGCAACTGAGGGAAAAAATATAAATAGATTGACTTTTGGTGGAGAAATGGAAGGCTTGACAGTAAGAACGACAAAGAGAAAAACAACAAAAACAAGAGCGAGGGTTGGAACTTTTCACTGCTTATTTACAATCATTTTTGTTTTAATTTGGTTTTGTAAAATAATAATTATGAAAAATAATTCATAATACTCCACGGCTCAGAGAAAAACAGCTGCATATGGCAGGGTCAAAACAACGCCTGCAGGGAAAACACGCGGGAAAACAATTTGCCTTTACAGCAGGTGATGCGCAAATGGTCTTTATTCAAATGACTTTCCACAACGAACTGTAATGAGCAGCAAAAACAAGGCAAATTCCTCCCATGTCATCAGGCGACAACAAACCATCTGTCACATGAATGGTAACAAAACAACCCGACTCCAGCTGCAGACAGAAGCCTGGGCTATAAATTCTGAATAAGAAATATTCTTCTCTAAACTACTGTCATCATCTTGACAAAAGCTTGTGAACACAATTTAGCCCCACCTCCACTGGCAGCATAAAAACCCTTCTGTTATGTCAAAGAAAGACAATAAAAACATCTTTTCAAATAAGATGTACAAATTATTTTTCAATAATTGTTCTATGTTAATGGACCAAAAAGATCTGTACTGCATGAATAACTTTCATTTATTCTTTATTAATAATAATAAAGTTATTTCTCTTCATATACTCCGTGTAAGCTATTTCTTCATTAGAGAATTCATTCTTTATGAAAATCTGGGCAATGTCTTTCACACCAGATCAAATATGTATATATGTATATATATATATATGTATATACTGTATATATATACACAGTATATAGGGTATATATTTGACATATATATGGGGTTTGTACAACATTGATGAACTTACTTGCTGCGTACATCCTGTTCCTGTTTTGTTTGGTCAGAATCACTGCTCACTGATCCTGATTCTGTTTCTGCTCCTTGTTTTTCTGAGCAGCTGCACTGTGTGTGACAGCTGCTGGGTCTGACCTGCAGAGGACAACATGTGTCAGCAGATACACACCATTAAACAGAGGTCGTAAGACCTTTAAACACGACCGGTCATTCATTTGTCACTGTAAATTAAGGGTTTTGCAACAAAAACAAAAATTAAAGATTAAGCCAAGGCCAATTTTCCTACCACAGCGAACACAGTTAGGTATCATGACTCCGACCAAGACTTCATTATTAATTTAGAGTTTGAATACATTAACATTTATCCATTTTTGTTTCCCTGGTGCATAATAATAAACACTGCTTCGACAATAAATCATTCATCAGAACTTAAAACTTGGTTTGACTACTGGGTTCATTACAGTCACATGATGGAGGTACATCAGATGCAATTGTCTTTTAAATAAGTGCATACACTGTCCATGTTTGAATCTTGGCACAGCATTATTTATCTCTTACAAATAAAGGAAGCAATGTATGAGGTAGTCAATAAAATATTGATAGAAATTCAAATAAATTGCAACAATTTACAAGGCAAACTAACAAAACAACTACAACCACCAATAGAGTGTGCTGGAGTTTTGGGGGGTTTCTTTGAAGTGCAATACAATACAAATACAGCAGCGTTGTGTGTATTTAAATGTAAAACATATTAATTCAAATATAACCATCAGCATACAGGACAAATGCTCCTAAAAGTAAAACATTTCCAAAAGCCAACGGGTCAAGAAGTTTCCTCAAAGTAGCTTTGCTCTTTTCAATGCTCATACGAACCAACAGCACACGACTGGTTGGCTAATTACTCCCGCTAGCTTTAGCTTGTTTGCTAGCTTTAGCTTGTTTGCTAGCTTCAGCTTGTTTGCTACCGTTAAATGTTGCAAATTCAGTACAGTGTCTTTTTCGTAAATGGCGAATTGGTTTTATTTGTATTAAACGATAAATTTGCCCCCCCACAAACTTATCGACCTTATGTCACTTACAAATTGCGATACTTTGCGCCTCTTCTTTAACTTTGTCATAAATCCTCATTGACGACATGTTTGTTTGCTTGCTAGCTGGAGTGGGCTCCGGGTCACTGTTGTTGTCGTGTAGACACAGGTAGACGCCACCTGGTGGGCGGGGCCTGGAAGTCAGCCATCTCTTACAGCACAGCAGTGACTGACTTTCAGATAACGTCGGTTTCACATGAAAAAATCGCCGATCCCGCAATGTTAAGAATCGGCATGGCACAATAAAAACTTTAAACGCCTTTAAAATATATTTTATATATATATATAGTTGTAGATTTTACATAAAAAAGGTCTCTTTAAGTCTCGTTTAAGATTGTACTATTTTAATGTCCTACTTAGTTGTTGTATTTTTTTTCCTTTGTGATTAAAATCTTACATTTCTACTTGAAATAAAATAAAATGTTCACCTGAATGTGTAACAGAGCAGAGAGAGTCGGAGGGGGCGGTGAGGAGGAGTTGACTGTGTGTTCCTCTAGTGTAGGTGGGAACAGAGTCTTCTGGTGGTGCAGCAGGTGGAGTAACAGGCTGTTACACAAACTCTGCTCCTCTATCATCCTGGGTCCGGCTGGAACACTGTATGGAGTTAAAACAACCACAATTACACGAGCAAAAAGTACAGCGTCACTGTAAAAACAAGAACAGGCCGGCGTAGTTAAATGCCATTTGTCCAACTGAAAAGCGCACCATCTGCTGGACAAAGGGCATAACTGTCACAAAACGTAACATCCGTAAACGTGCGCACGTAAACAATAATGAATACATTAAAACAATGTTACATTAAAAACGAAATCAGATAAGCGAGAGAAATATATATACAGTATGTATTAAAATGAGATTTAAAATTTACTAGAAACATTTGTTACTTGAGCATGTGAAGGAGCCACAGGTTTAAAGTAAGAATGTGTTTGTACCAAATATGTTCTAAGTTTGATTTCTGTCTTAGTTTTGGACACAAACACACGTGTTATCACGCATACCCAAGGCAGTGAATGCGAAGCATGTGTGCAATGGTACTATTTTACATTTCAGTAAGGTTAAAAGCTCATTTTAACCTGAAGAGCTTTTTAATTTGTAGATACATGATTGAAGCAGAGGGATTATTTCCAGACAGTCTAGTTATCGACCGTGTGGCCCTAGAAAAGGCTCATATAATTAATGCAAAATTACTGAAAAATAGTCAGTCTAGAGGTAATAATACGAAATATATTATTATTGATGCGAAATAAAGTTATTTCGCACTAATGGAATATTACACAGGCACATAAAACGGGCAGCCTTCATGGCAGGGCAGTCCCCATTTTTGCCAGTGGTGTGGAGTTGGTCTAAATCATTCATCATGATCAATACTGTTTAAACCTCAGCTACCCTGTGCTTTATCAGATTTAAAATACAAATTGTTTGACAGCTTTGTGAGTATATCAAGGTTTAAAAATTAGCTATTTATACGCAAAATAAAGCTAATTTAGCTGTACGTCTTTCATGCATTGTAGTGTTTTCAAGTCTCATCGAACTAGTTTTAGTTGTTTTCAACTACTACTATTTATGTCAGAATGCATTTAAAGAACCCAACTGTGCACACTGAGTATTTAAAGACCTCTGTGTAAACCACTTAAAACATGTCTAAGTAAACCTCTTCCCTCCCCGGCTACGACTGTGAGACTTTTTCCTTAGGCACTCAGAAGTGTGCGGCATGACTCAGAACAAATTATAGACACGCCATCGACATTCAGGGGAAAACAAGGCCAACGTATTCTAGACAGGAAGACACTTGTTGTTCAAATTGCAGTGTCTTCAACGCTGTCTTTAACGCACCTCGAGGTCAAGTATGTGGTAATTTAGCATGACACACTGACAATCCGAAATCCTTGTCCTCAGGGACGAGAACATTAACATGCTGGTCCGTGGTCCTACAGAGATTGTTGTAGATCTGTTTACACTGATGGCAGCATTTTGTAAACACGCAGCCTCAGATGACCACCGTTTTATCTGTCTTTTTGGATGCCATGCTTTTTGTTATCAACCATACACCCATTTCCTTCAAGGAACTTCCTCTACTCCACCACAGATGGGGAGAAAATGCAGCAGACAGTCAACAACCACTGCCGAGGAATGAAGTTCCTCTGTTGTGGTCATGGTAATTTGGTGAAATCTTGGTGGAATTACTCAAGTCACACTTTCCAAAAAAGCCCGCAGGACCTTCACATGTTGTAAAGTAGCACCAGGCCACACTTTACTGTAACCATTAAGAAAAGTATTCATCCGAGGAGTGTTCTGAGTTTCATTTCAGTGGAACATTACACGCTTCTTACTGGAATATACAAGGGCCGAAGATGGTTGCCAGATTTTCCACAGGCATGTGATTTGATTGGCTGTGAGCGGCGACTCTGGACAGAAACCGAACGAGGTACAACAGAACGGTGAGGTGCTCGGCAGGAAGGCAGAGGAGGTTTTCCCTCAGAGACCGGTTCAGCTCAGGCTCATCTGGGTGGCCTGGAGAAAAAAGAAAAAATATATAATTTTTATATACATTTCTACACTCTGTCATCTGAGCTTTAAATACCCAACAAGATGGAAGAACTTTAGCAGAAAGCCACAAAGAGAACATCAACATCTCCTTACATCAGTGGTTCTCAATTATTTTCTCTCATGCCCCCCCACTCTGTCCCCCACTCCGTCCCACACCCCCATGAATTGAAATACGGTTAAGAACCTGATAACATATATATTTTATATCTGTACAAACCACTGTAAGAGTTGCTGCCACCTAGTGACTGGAGGCTTGATATCGTCCAAGCATTACAGCAGTGGTACACTTATGTCCAGCGTGCTATATTCCATTGGAAGCCCCTCATGCCCCCTCCAGCACCACACCGTGGCCCCCCAGATGGGCCCGCCCCACTATTTGAGAAGTACAGTACTGCCTTTAACTATACATTAGCAGAGTCAAACTCATTTGGCGTATAATAAGCACAGTTCTAGTTTATAACTCAACATTTGTTTATGTTTTAGACCAAAGGTACTATGGATAAAATGTAGTCGTACCTGACAGGCTCAGGACCAGACTTTGGCGCTGAGGTTCCGGGATGATGGCGGTGGGCAGCTCCCTGAAGAAGAGTTTGAGGAGTGAGGCTACCATGGGGACGTCCCCTTCCTGCTCCAGGTTCACCATCTCTCCACGGTCCCACTGCTGCCTGAGCTGCTTGGTCCGGGCGACGGAGCTGCACAGACGGAACAGGCCCCGGTGGTGCATCCCTGTGATTAGGAAATCAATGTGTTTTATTTAGCACAGACCCAGGTGAAGTTCACCACAGCAGCATCCTTACCGTGCTTATCCAGAAACTCCACCATGTCTCTGAGAATGAAGGGTACTCCACAGGCCATCTGCCCTTCCTCTCGCAGTATTTCCAGGGCAACACCAAACACAGACCTGCCGACCAGCGCAGGCTGTGACACCAGGGTGGGAGAAGTGAGCTCTGGGCTGACCTTAGGGCAGGGCCTGAGGATTCTAACTGAAGAATGGTCATTCTTCGTGATGGAAAGACACACAGAATAAATGGTGTTATTGTGGATAAACTGTCAGGAGTCATCAATGGTTTAAACTGGGGGACTTGGTGTGACCTAAGGATGATCCAGGGCATTATATAAATATGAAAAAAATATATATATAACACAACAAATAGACAGACCGACAGACAGACAGACAGACAGATAGATAGATAGATAGATAGATAGAAAAAGAAACATTTTTCCAGACCTACTGTGCATGTGAAAACACAGCACCGTGTCATCAGATCGGCAGATAAACTTACACAGAGCGACACTGACGCCCTTGCTCCCATTTTCATCTCAGTCCGAGGGAACTCTCCATTTCTCACCCCCTCCTCGTCTTCCACATGACGATTGCTCCGCAGAAAACTGTCAAAGTCCGACGGGGCAAACACACGACAAGGTCCACGGTCGCAAAATCTCAACTCCGGTTCTGTTTTTTCTTTTTTTACAAAGTTTGTGAAGAAGTCCGGCCGATAAAATGGAGGAGCGGCACTTGGGTCTAATCTGATCGCCGCTGCAGCCGAAGAGCCCAACTTTGTTTATGTTGCCAGTCACGTGACCCCCGTATTACCATGGTGATCTGTGCCGGGGTTGCCAGGCGAAGGAGAAAAGCTGGAGGATGCTGGAGTGGGACCCGGGGTGGTTGATTTCAGACAAGTGGTGTCAGAGTTCAGTGGAGGTCAGGACCCTTATTCTATACAGAACAATAGGAGGCAAAGAAATTCACTTCATTCAAACAAATAACTCTAGTAAAGGACACTGTGTTGAATTAGCATTTGTAGATTTGCTGTTACATGATATTAGCAATTTATACATTTCCTTTTTTTTTTTACACAGATGCTTATATTTTAGATTTGAAGATAACAGAACCTCAGATATTGTACAGCTCACGTGGTCATCTTCGATCAAAACACATTTTATTGGCATTTTCTTAATGAAACAAATCAGAAATGCATACATAAATAGTGTAATGCTTACATACAAAATGAGACTAAAGGCTTAAGGTTTTCCAACCCTCTACACACAACAAAAACAAAAAACGAAAAAAAAAAAAACACGTGAAACTTCTGGAACTCTGTTTGCAGGGGTCCACTTGGTCAACATCGTTCAAGTGATTCTAACAGTGTATTGCAACATTTTTATTCCAAGTGTAACAAGAATCAACTTACAGCTAAAAAAAACAAACAAATCTTTGCAGCTCTAGAGCCAGTTTAGTGCATAAGAAATCACTAGCACATAGGACAAAATTAAAGCTAATACAAAAGTTTATCAAACAGTGGCCACATGCCCAAAAATGGTGCTGACATGTGCGTGCGCGCACACACATTACGTATAAACATATACATGTACACACATACAAAAGGAGGGAGGTCATGTGATCATGCCACACAGGGAACATGCTACAGAGAGACCTCTTTAGTGTTTTTATATGGGTTTAAAACAGCACATCAGTTTATATTATATAAACACATATATACTGTATATATAGTGTACATATATATACAGTATATAATATAAACTGAGTCAATGCACTTGATTTAAAAAATGTTACTAAAGCCAGACTTTTGTCTTGTTCATCAGGCATTAACAAAAGGTAACTAATGTCGTTGCTTTGGTAAGATAACATTGGTGTACGTTCCATACTGTATATTTAGTAAACACCAATGTTTAATAATAATAACAATAATAAAAACTAACAAAAGGTGTTGTCAGTCCCTGTATTTATATAACTCGTTTGAGTTTTTTTTTTTGTGCATTTTTCGAGTGGTTGCAAATGGTTTTATTTAGAATTAAAACGCTTCACCACAGGTTTTCCCACATTTGTGACACAGTATCAATAATCTTGTCATTCCTGTGATGTCGTGGTCAAAGTGAATTGAAAAACAAAAACAAAAACATGTTTGATGTAAACAGCTACTACACTGGGAGAATGCTGTTTATTTTTGCTTCCTAAAATGAAGCAGGAAACAACATGAATGCATTTTGTCCACTCTCCCATGGATAACAATGGCTGTGACATCACTAGGTTAAAGAACCAATCAATACTTCCTTTTTGTCTGATTTGCATTTCTGTAAATCACAGTTTTGACACTTAAACATCTGTAGAGGAAAAAGATAACAGCCAAAAAGCTCAAAACCGCCTGTGTGGTAGTTGAAACTATAATATTGCTGACCCGGCAGTCTTCAGAGATCGACTATATATCATCCTTTAATGCTTTGTGAGACATTCTCAGTTAAAAAGAGACTGGCAGAGGTTACCGTCTCAGGCATCCTTAAATCGTGTCCATGTCTGAAAGTGGCTAACAGTTTTATTTCTATGTCCATATTTAGAAGGTGACAATAATCCCAGTCTTGCTGTGGTGGCTGTAAAGGGCCTGCAGGACAGAGTTTGAAACCTGAGAAATATATACGCAAAGTACAGAAAAAAAAGGCCTGTTTGTTTTGAACCTGTGCAAATATTCTAAGGTCGTTAAAACCTGGCAAAAAGAACTAAAGTGAAAACCCCAGGTACAGCTGTTCAGGTAGAGTTTATAAGTGGACTGTTGACACTCACTTGACGTGATATTGGCCGTTTGTGTGAAGGTCATTTTTATGCTACGGATGTGACTTTGTCACAGCTGCTGGTGTAAAGGACTTCTGGTCTGTCGTTTTCCGAGCTCTTCCTGTTCCAGCAGGGAAGTGTGAGCAGAGAAAAAACCACCCCCCCCAGCAGGACACAGCTACCAGTGAAGTAGAACGCGACATCATAGGAGTTCATCCAGTCAAAGAACCACCCTGTGAACAAAGGTGAGAGAAAACAGGTCAAGTCAGTTCAACCAGTGAGTTAAATTACTCCTAATTACACATTACCTTCCGAATTATAACTCTACTTGTCAGTTTGATTTGAACATTTCAGTGTACTTGAGGATCTTCGGGGTGATTCAACATGCCATGCATACATTTACAGCACTCGCACTGGAAAAAAGAAGTTCTCTTACCAACCACAGGGGGTCCAAGCATGATCCCAAGTCCCCCAAAGAACATAAGGACACCGTGGGCTTGGGTCAGTCTGTCCAAGCCGACAATCTGAGTGGTAATGTAGGACGTGAGGGACCAGTTTCCAGAGAAGAAACCCAGCAGGGCGGACATGACCTGCAGTCCAACGTAAGACTTGGTGACAGGTATGAGCAGCAGCACCACACCTGCTGAAACCATTGTGAAGGAGTACAAATAGATGCTGTTGATCCACTTAAAGTCCACTAGGGCACCGAGCATCAGTTTGCCCATACAAGTGGTGATGGCCACTATGGACACCAAAGGAATGACGCTGACTTCTTCGATGAGTCCCTCAGTCTGGGCCACGTCCTCTAAGAAGAGCACGGGAGGGAACGCTCCCAGGCTGAATAAGAACAAGGCAAAGCAGTACGCAGACATGGCTTGGTCCTGCAGGATCTCATATGTGGTCTGCATGTAGGTGGAATACGCCTGCTGCTTCTTGCTGATGACTTTGATGAGGTCTATCCCAGCCAGGAAGCTGGTTTTCTTCTTCTCTGCTATAACTGTCAAGTCCTTGGCATCGACAGTGACGAGCAACTCCTTCACCGTCAGACTTTTCTCAGGACTGGTCGCAGCGGAACCTGTGCCGACCTTTAGGCTGTCCACAGGGGGCTTTTCAAAGAGCTGCTCTTCAGTGCTGCGCTCCAGGGCGGCCTTTTGTTTGAGGTAGTACCGGGGCATGTAAAGAGGCCTCATGAAGCCGGCACATGCCATGAGGTTTAGAGCTACAGCACCGACGATGAGCAGGCAGCCGTCCAGGCCATACAGCGCTATCAGCTCATTCTGAGCAGAGGCGTAGATGAAGGCTCCAACACTGGTGCCTGTGGGTGTGACGGGAGACAAATTTTGTTTTAAGACAATGAAGGAAAAAAAAGATATAACCAGAAATTAAATCATTCGGAATATTTAGAGCTGACAGCATTCTGAATTACCCAGCAGCTGTGAACATAGTTGAACTGCTTCACTGACCACAGAATGAAAACCTCCCTGGGGTGTTGATTTATAACACACAAAAACGGATGACAATGCTAACCTCCATATTAAGATCAAACTTAGTTAAGCAACAGCCAAAGACTGTGGGTTCTAGATATGGGTCTTATATCAAAAATAGTGATTCATTAAAGGGTTAGGGGTTCCTGCACTTCATCATTAGTAAAAACTGACCTCAACAGTTCATGTGTATAAAACTATTAAAAGCAATTATAGTCCTAAAGTATTGATGAATGAATGCTGTGACCGAGGTATCAACCAGATTATTCTAAATGGGATTGTGATTTAAAAAGAAGCTAAAATTCATTCAGTGTATTATTAACAGACCACCTTATAATGCAAGGCAATTTCCTCCCTCCCTTCGAAGTTTTACCATCAAACGTTTGACTTTCATCTGCGTACTGGTCACTCGTGTCTGTTCCTACTCTACATAACGCTCGATCAGCCTCCGCGCCTCTAAAAGTGTTTACCTCGGCTTGCCAAGGCTCCCAGCAGCTCATACAAGAAAGAGGAAGTGAAGAGAAGTGGTGTGCAACCAAAGAGTTCGGAGCAGAGAGGGGGGCAGCAGTACCTGTGGTGACAACACCGAGGGCTAGGCCACGCCTCTTGTCAAAATACTGACAGGTGATTGTCAGTGTAGCAGCATAAACCAGAGTACAGCCCAGACCTGAGAGAGGAGAGAGGAGTTGACAACAGCATGAGCAACAGCAACAGAAAAAAACACCAACAAAGAAGAGTTCAATTATTTATAAGCTTTTAATAAATATGAAGAATCTAGTTTCTAATATTCAATCGGTATTTTATTATTCAGAAATGTAATTTTTTTTCCCCATCTGTTTCCAAACTGTTTTATACTCACTAAGTGTGGACTAGTTACCCTGATTCACTTGGGGATTTCCTGTTCTAACTTTGGAGCTAATGTTCAGACATCACATGGCCAAAGTGCTGAGATGATGTAACATTACCAGGTGAGACATTGACTGTCCATATGTTTCATCATGTGCTTTGACTGAGAACTGACCTTCAGTCTGTTGACTTCAAACAGAATGCCACTTCAGTCTGTTGACTTCAAACAGAATGTTAGAATGTCTCTCTGTTCCAATTCTAGTAACCTGATGTTTAGCATGTAACAGCATTGTGACTTTACTACGTCAACAGTTTTCCTACAATTAAATTGTTTAAAAAAAACACAATATATTGTTGTGCCAATATATTGCAACATGTCGCAATACATCATATTGTCGCCCCTGTATCACGATACATACAGTATTGCCTGATTCTTGCCCATACACACATCTACAATAAATGTGTATAAATGTTGGGACTGCACTGCATGTTGGGAAATAAATATATGTACAGGGTGCACGGCTCTCTAAGTGCAAAGGGAGTGAGGTCTGCTGAGTAACAGACCCCATCAAAGATTTAAAAAGAAATGATCGAAGGGTAAACAACTGCACATGCAGGCGCTGCCACAGCAAACATCTCAGAACAACTCCAAAAATAAACAACTGTGGTCCTCCCCCGGGAGGACGGTCTGTGCCAAGAGCACTTCTGCCTCTGGAGCCGTTCACCATGACTTAGCTGGAGGTGTCACTTGGTCACAATAACAGGTGGTGTTGTGCCGGGCCATGCAGACTGGTGTAACAGCAGCGTCAACACGGGGTCACATTGAGATCATGGCTACACCATGGTGTGGCTTGGACTTTAATAGAGAGTTCTGCATCTATCCTTTAACCTTTTATATGCTTATTAGAAAGTGTCACTAAATACCAGGAAAATGCAATGAGTCTTAAAACTGCTGAACTTTTGTCAACACCGTACTAAGTTAAGGATCACAACACTTGTCTGCTAACCTTTTTTTTAATGGTGCAAAGCTCAAGTCTATAATAATGTCTCAGTACGTAATTCTTTTAGTTGGCAGTAAACTTTGTTAAATAGTAATTGTGGACATGGACGTCAGTTACATAACAGCTGGAGTAGCTGCCTACTTTATGATTGTACAATATCTCATGACATATGCATACTGTATGTCGGCAGGATAAGAGGCTTAGATGAAACCCATGACTAAAAAAACATGAAGAACTGATTCATGTTAGTGTGAGTGAGCAGACCTCCTGTGCACTGACTCTATCAGTTAATCCACTGCACAGCACCAAATGATTCACGCAGAGAATCTGCTACAATGTCACTGCATCAGATTGGATTTTCTTACCAACCACGATGCCATAAGAAAAAATGAGGAACTGCACATTTGGGGCAAAGGCACTGAGTATGAAGCCTCCTGCCACCATGACGCCACTGAAGATGGTCACAGGACGAGCACCGAAGTTGTCCACACAGGCACTGCAGATTGGACCTGGGAGTGAAAGACAAAAGAGGGAGAGGGAAAAAAAGTTAAAAATAAAAAAGGGTCAAGGAACAAAGAAATCAGAATCACAGAGAATATTTCCTGTACACTACATCTGTAATGGGTCATGAGACTGAAACATCTCACTCAGTAAGGCTGACTCATGAGTGAATAAGTTCATGGACTACATTCCCACACATTATCTCCTGTATGTTATTGCACAGTCACTGTGTGTTTAGTGTTACCACAGAAACAATGTAGCCTCTGAGCTGCACTCACTCAACACCTGCCAACAACTGAGGTGGTTCATACATAGTTTACGGTTTCCTTATTCTTCAAAGAAAACATACATAGGCAAAAAAAAACAAAAAACTACTAAAATCTCCGGAAATGCCCTTTAAGGCCACTTGACGGTGAACTGAAGACTGAAGAATCTCCGGAAATGCCCTTTAAGGCCACCTGACGGTGAACTGTTCAGTTAATGTTTACAGAAACTGAGTCAAACATCTGCTGCATATACAGAACTTCAACATACCAACACTGTTATATGTGACTGCCATACGTGTTTGGCAGTCAATAAGTAGAGCTGTTGTATTAAAGATTAAACAAGTGTCACAAGCTAAAGGAAATTATTAATAGACTATAAGGATAAACTGAGGATCTAGTTATTATGTATCATTTAAGTGATAGGGCAGATATTGGAACACTTAAAAGAGACCATATATCAAGCATCAATTGATAAAGGTCCAATGATACGCCCTGACATATTGATACTGGTGATGTTGATCAATAACATCTGGTAAAGTTAGAATTGTAAAGAATATAATTTACTTTTATTTTTAAATGTCACTTTGCTCTATTTTTTTTTTTTAAATCAAGAGATTTTTCTGCTTATAATTCATATAGTATAATTTTTAAATGATAGTTTTTATTTGAAATGAAACAATAGAACACACAATTATGATAAATAATGAGGAAAGCCCAAATATGCTTTAAGTTTGAAAATGTTTTGAAGTTTTGTTTGTTTTTTTACATTTTTTAATGTTATTATAATAATATTCCCATTGCGTAAATAAAATCAGATCCTTGAAATTAAAATCATTACATTGCCTTTTCTTCTTAACATGTTGTAATAAAACTCAGTTAAAAGTCTCTGATAAGTAAAAACTCTACAAATTGGTAAAAAAAAAGTAGCATTTGTTACGCAATTAAAAAACAACAACATTTGGAGCATCAACAAAGCATCTTCCCAATGACCTTAACTAATTTAAATGTCTCAATTACCGTGTGAGACATTGGTGCAAGTCTGAGCCCTGGAGCCACATGTTTGCTCTGTGCATTACAGTGATGTTTACATCAAGGCATGGATCACTCAGACCTACTTCGCACTCATAGGAAATCAATTACAACCACTCTGCTGTAATTCAGAGCATATCTTCATGACATAACCGACTTTATTTTCCACCCTCTAAGTCTATTACACCAGAGTGAAGACTCTGACACCTGTGGCTGCTGCGGATTTTTTTCTCAGAGCCATCATTGTTTTGACTTTGAACTTTTATTGCATCTGCCTTGTTATCGGCGACATGATGTGATGATAATTCATAAAAGAGGAAGGGCAATGGGTGAAAGTCGGCGAGTCTCTATTGCTCAGTGCTATCACTGTCAATATTATTATCATTGTTATTGTACAGATATACAGCAAGTCTCTGATGCTGATATCAGCCGACACAAACATCCAGAGAAAATACTGATGACAAAATATCCTTTCCAAGTTTATAAAAACAAACATCAAAGCAGCTACAGAGAATGAGATTCTACTTGTTTCGTTTGTGTGGTACTCACTGGCTATCAGTCCCACTCCAGCCACAAGGGATCCCACCCAGGCCGTCATACCCTTGCCCTCCTTAAAGGTATGCAGCCACTCAGGGTAGAGGACGCCCACCGACTGGGGTGATCCGTAAGCCAGGAACTGGGCCATGAAGGAGGCCACCACGATGGCCCATCCCCAGCCTCCATCCAGTGCCTTAGTAGCTGGAGTCATGGTGTGAAGATGTCAGCTGCAGCTGGATAGAGCAGGGGATTCTGGAGGAAGAACAGACACAATATATTAACAAATAAACAAATCACAATAATAATAATAAATCAATGCATAAACAACCAGGAAGAACAGAAATATGTCACTTAAAAAAAAACTAAACAGATCCTCCGTACAGTGAGGGCTGCTGCCACAGTTGGTCAAACAGGCGGATGACGACCTCCAGACTGACTGTGAGACAGACTCAGTCTTTGGGCCCATTTGTTCCTTACTCTACAACCACACCTTGGAGGAACGCAAAATGAAGAAGAGGAAAAAAAAAAACCAAACACTCCACTGCCACCTAACACCTCTCTCCACCAGCACTCCCCCTCACCCCACCCTGGGGTCATTCATCTCTAAATCCAAATATATACATTTATATATATATATGACATGAGGCCTGTCTCCTCTGCTGACATCAGTTGTTTTCCTTGAATGATTTGCATATCAACTTTGCTCATCACTGCAGCAACAGCAGCATTTTTTTTTCCAAAAGTTGGTGCATTTTCTGGTTTCATATTTTTTAGAGAATCAGTGCTTGACATAACAGTGCATTCAAGTATTCCTCTTAAATAAAATGCCAACACTGGCAGATGCAATAGGCCACGAGCAGTAAACACAACAACCAACGCGGGCTTTTCATCGTTAAAATAACCCGGCATGTGGCGCTTGTTTTGGAGAAATAAACACAGGAACATGCGGCACTTACCTCAGCATCTACAGAGCGGCGCTGTGCGCTTTAAAGCAACTTTCCATGTAGGGACGCAGCCATTGCTTTATAATAAACAACACACTCCCTTTTATACCCCCCAAAAAATCAAATAAGACACGAAAGAATCATCACCCACTGCCTGAATCGGCTGGGGATGTGTGTCATGCACGGGAAAAAGATTTCTATGCCACAGAGCGCATTGTGCATCAGTCGGCTTTTGTAGCCGGCACTAAACCGGTTCAAAGCTGTTCTTGCTGGTCCAGCAGCAGCCGCAGTTAAAGAGACGCTTCCTCTTTGCGCGCCTGCCTGAGAGCGCACCACAACAGACCTCTGTGCGGCGCTCTGTGATGCGCGACGACTGAGCATTCTGACCTGAATATTCTAACTTGTACACAATCCCTCATACTGTATTGTTTTTTGTTTTTTTTTATCTTCTTAGAAAGGCTGTACACATGCACGCGCACACTGAGCGCAGTATAAAAAACGAAAACAAATGATTACCTGGTTGGTGTTCGGATCATTCAAAAAAAATCAAAAAAATCAGAAATGTAAAAAAGTAAAAGAATGTTGAAATTAATTATACAAAAAAAAAAAAAAGATTAAAAAATTTGATCTGGTTACATTGACTACCCTAAGTCCACGTGCTAACCAACCATGGGGGCTGCAAGTGTGAATCTGAGGGGCCACCTCTCTCGAGGAACTCTCTTTAATACTGCCATCAGTCCAGTCCAGTCTGAACCGGTTGATGGACGGCGGTAACAACAGCACCACCACCGCCACCATCTCATCACTGCAGCAGCAGGATACACTGCCCCGCCAGGCTTCCCTACCATGTTCTGTGCAGCCGTGCCTACACATTACTGTAGTATTTAAAAAGAATCGTCCAGCTGCCACTAAAATATATAAATATATCGATTTTTAAAAAAAAAAAAAAAAAAAAATTTCTAAAAAATAAAATTAAAAAAAAAAATTTCTGAAAATTTTTTTAAGTTTTTTTTTTTGGTCTAGGTCTTTGGTCTTGGTCTTTGGTCTTTGTGGTCTTTGGTCTCGGTCTCGGTCTTTGGTCTTGGATACAATAATGTAAATTGCAGTTGTATGTTTTTTGTAAAGGTGGGGATAGATAAATAACCCGTTTTTGCAGTTAAACTGAAGGCTAACTAACTAGCAAAGCTGTGCAAACTTGAATCTAACCGTTTACCTGGAGGGGCTTTTAAAAACATACAAACAATAAGAACTTTCTAAAGCGAATTAAGCCTAAAAATTGAACTTTTAAGCAAATAATAACCTTATAATTTTAATGATATTGTTTTCAAATGTCCCTCATAGACTGGTCATTACAACACAAAGGACTGTGTCTAATCTAGGCTAACATAACAGCTTAGCGCTATCACACAGTTAACACCAAACCCCTACAGTGTTTTTGGTCATGTGGGACATGTTATTTTAAATGTGTTTACATTCTAAATGTTAAACAATCAATAGTAGGCTAACAGATAACTTAAGTGTTAGGTTAAAGATAATTTGAAGTGCAATGAAATGCAATGGAAAAACAGCAAACAAATTGATTAGCACATTACCTTTTGGCTAAGAGGTGGCCCTGGGGTTGGCTAAAGACCATAAACAGTAAGATAATGTTTGCCCAGAGGTTGAGCAAATGTTTTTAACACAAACATCATTAAAACACACCCGAGTGAAATCCTGTCAGTGGAACTTACAGCACGATTACTATTACGTGTTCTTTGATTGGCTTCCAGAACATGTCACATGAACAAGGAGAAAATGATTTAGTCCTTAGGTCTAGACAGTATGCACTTAATCATTTAATTGTACTAGAAATAGCTAGAATTATTGTAAGAAGGCCCCACATAATTTTCACCCATAAGAATGTTGCAAACAATGCAGCAAGGCAGTGCAACAGAGGAATCAAGGGAGTCAGTTAGAAAAAAAGGGGTTTTCAAGTCTCACATGTTACGAGAAAAAGCTGGCTTCATGGCCTCAATACTTACAGGAAGTGTGTGTGTGTGTGTGTTTCCATTTTTCTCACCCATAACCTCAGGTCAGAAATGGGGTGGAAACATCTTCTTTGTTATACAGCAGAGGCAGTGGAGTGCAGAAAACTAAGGACCCCTTCAATAAAGGAGAAGAAGTTGAAACCAAAGATTAAAGAGCAGGAAGCACAAAGAACGGAGGATGTAGTGGGGGTGGGGTGGGTTACAGAATAGACCAGATGTCAATTTGTTTTTCACCCCGAATGCACCTAAAATTCTTCAGGAACTTTGATCAGTTCTTTCCTTTGCTGAGGCATGGCTCTGCCAATGAAAGGTTCTCAAAGAGAAGATTATCGTTTATAATCCCGCTCTGTTTGAAAAAGTGGGTGGAAAAAAAGTACAGTTTATTCTGAGTGTATATGACTCGCACTGACATGTGGCCCTAAACTGGTTGGAACCAGAATAAGTGCATAGAGGGGACACAGTGGGAATCACAGGAGGGGTATTGACTAGTGCTGGAATCAATGCCTGTGCTGAATTCCTAAAGCCTATAGAACTTATTCAATACACATATTGACACAGTGTTTCTTACTGGACCACTATCTCTACTGAGTTTAGGATATGATACCGTTTGATACCAAATCTTTGTTTAATATCAAAGCTGATGTAAACCAATCAGTCCTGATGTACAGAGGACAAAAGGTCATAGGGCACATTCAGGCCAGAGAGGATAACTTAACTCAGTCGATTTAAACCATTTAGATAACAATACAATATTCCATTAAGATAGAGCAAGCTTTTTTTTTCTTAAGCAAATGTATATCCAGAAGAAGTGCTAAATAGAACTTGTTAACCTAATAGTCAACTAATAATCCCCATGATGATCTTGAAACATTCTCTCGTGTAAAGTCTGTTTAGTTAATCTACGGCAAAAAGTGCAACCTTGTCTACAGAAAACTATTTATGTGGAAGTAAAGGCAAGTCTTTAATTACCAGGCTGTTTTAAGGTCAAGCCCAGTCATTTGGAGTCATGAAGACAGATGGTTTGAAAGAGGAGTGAAAAAGGTTATCCATGTCAACAATCACCAGAAATGTCATGAGTTGTTTTTTTTCCTGCACCAAAGACTTGAACAGTCATACATGGTGAAACAAAGGCAGACTCTAAAAATCACACTCATGACTCACACTATTCTCACAACCTAAAACTAGGTCACGGGGCGAGCAACGTACGCTTAAGCATCACGGCTCTCTCAACAGGTCTTTACTGGATGAGGGACTGAGTACCTGGAGTTTCTCACGTGTCAGTCAGGAGCAATGAAGAATCTTGGAGGTAAGGAGAAAAAAAAAAACCGATTATTTTGGCTGGCAATTATATCATGACAGTCTTGATTGAGCCATTTGATATAATGAGTTGCACATGGTGAGTAAGGCAAATGGTGTTCCACCAGGATCCAATTAGGAGCCCATAGCATTTGCTTTACATGTTAAAACCACGTACATTTCATCAAATTAAGCAGTAACAGAGGCCTTACTCTGATTCCATACACAGTGAAGGACACCTTAGCACCAAATGGTGTCTCTATAAAACAATATTGACCCACACTTAAGGTAAAGAAAAACACAGGTTTGCACAGCTGCGCTGATTAGCTGACAGTGAGATCTAGTTCCTGTCAATATTCACTTAATGCCAGGACCTCAGAACCCTCAACTAACCCATGATATAATTTATCAGAAGAACTAATGTTCCTAATGGGAAACATGAAGTCTTATGCAGGTCAAGAGAGACAGAGAGACCTTTTTCCTGGAAGTGTCTTTGAGGAACGCATGTACAGTACGTCACCAAAACTGTGGTACTGCCCAAAAATAACACACAATTTCCAGTATTTTTTTGCACAGGCTAATCTGATACAAGTACATTTTCTGTACTGTATCCCTTTTTTGACACTTGAGAAGCAACGCCTGGTGCTTTTTTTGCGTAAGTAGCCTGTCAGAGGTGAGCACATAAAGCCTCCCTGCGGTGTGGAAAATCCTCGCCCCGTTTGCATACTTGGATCACTAAAGGTGCAGAGTACAGGACCACTTCAACACCCAGCATGGTGAACCTGAGCCAGGAGTCCAGATTCTTGCTTGGATTAGCTCAGGTTGCCTGCTCCAGCAGTAAGGGAGGAAACTGCAGCACAGTAGAAAAACACTGGTTCTTTCCTAAGATGTTTTTCAAAGCCATAGCAGCTCTGTGGAACAGAAAAGTATAAATTACATCATGTGACAATAGAGGGTAAGTCTATATTTGTACTCTCAGGTTTGCGTAAAACACAAAACGGCTTAAAGTTACCGTGTATGAGATAATGGAAGCCCTTATGTGGCTATGTGTCGTCAATGCCCACTTCTCAGGTTGCTGCAGACACATCATTTACATGGACCGTTCGAATCATTTTTTTTTTTTCTTGAGCTCTTACAATCACATTGGGATGAAAATACTTTAAATTCCTGTATAAAATCATTATATCATTGGGATGAAAATACTTTAAATTCCTTCATCATCTCAAAAGACATACTGTATAAAATCATTATATTTAGGCTTATATTTGTGCACACTCACCAACGAGGTCTAGGTAGTTGTTTTCATCATCCCAGAATTGGTCCTTTTTCAATAGTCATCATGAAGAGGAACACGTGAAGAACTAAATACCTTACCACCATAACTGCAACTGAACAGAAACAGCATGTTCCCCTTTATCCCTGCAAAAGAATCACAACAATACAGTGATTACTGTCTCGTGGTGCCAAAGTGCTTCACAAGTTGCATTTATGGAGACTTCTTTAAAACTCTTTTTAAAACAGGTTAATTTTGTCCACGGTTGCATTTATGGAGACTTCTTTAAAACAGGTTAATTTTGTCCACATCAACTTTTACAAAACAGGGGCCGAAGTCAGCAAATTATTTTAGTAATTTTTCAAATTTCATTCTTGAATTATTCTGACTTTTGTCCAGTCTCTTAGCATTTCTAGAAGCATTAGACAAAAAGTCACAATTATTCAAAGAAATCTGATTTTTTTTTTAGATAATTCTTTCAATATTCAACACTAAACATAATTTAAAAGTCAATTTTAATATTGTTTTTTACCTTTCTGGAACAGACACGATGGTTTGATGACAGCATATGACACATTCAAGACACTATCTGCTGTCATGGTGTGAGTTAAATCACAGGTTTTACAAGACCAACCTTAAATCGGTGTCAACTTTTTTAGTGTCCTGTTGGGAAAACACAATGATTACTTGCATACGGAAAAAATCTTACATCCATAAAACTGACAATTAAAACATTCGTCATCTCAAGAGCTTTAATCATACATAGAAATTTAGTTCAACAGTACCATTCGTTTAGAATGTTTTAGCAGTATGTATATTTAGTGTAAAGAGCATTATGTTTTTTTGTCCTTTTATTTTTGATGAGGATTATCCATAAGGATGATAGGAGCTTTTAGAAATACACCAGAGAAGAGAGAGGAGAGCAGAGAAGAGACTGAGTACATGACTAAGTTGTAACACCTCAGACTACAAGTTGAAACACCTCAGAAGGCAACATTTATCTGTGGTTTATGTACCAGCATCCGGCATCCGGCATCTTTGATGGTTGTTTTTTTTTTGTTTTTTTAGAACAATAACAGTGCTTCAAATGCTTTTTTAGAAACTAAAATATCTGTGGCACTTGCTCTGTTGGATTAACGTCCCACAACGGAGAAACTCTTCAGTCTTTTATGACACATCTTTGTGACTTAAGTAATCAAAGCCGATTTAACGTGGGGATTATTTGACAGTATTTGTCAGAGAGCACAAATTAATGGAGGTGAGCAGGAGTGGAGGACATGGCTGCATGTTAAGTGTCAAAATAAAGGCCTGCGCAAAAAAAAGACAAAAAAGGAAAGAAAAAAAACACCCACATCTCTATCACTTTATCAATTTCTCTAGCCTTACATCCATCCACTGAATCAAAAATCCAACCAAGCAGTGAACATCGCCACCAAAATCACTGTATGTGCTGTTTGTGCTGTCTTTAAAGCGCCACAATTTTCCTACCAGCATGTCCCCAAGCAGAGAAAACCAAAACAGGTACAAGACAAAGGGGCTGAACAGATGATTGTCCCACAAATCCTAGAAGCGACTTTTTTTTCTCCCCTGTCCATTCCATTATTTTTCCCAAACTGATAGTTTGCTGGATGCCACTCGTAGATTTAGGGAAGGGAAGGGCTGCGAGCTTCACCGAGCCACTGCCTCATTTCGTTCAGCCTTAAAACTTTTTCTTTTTATGCGGCTTCTTTTGGAGTTGGTTAAGAGAAGAGAAACTTGACTTCCACAGCTGGTAATAATCGAAGCTGCTGCTGCTGTAGCATCGTGGCATTCAGTGGGTGCACTGGTGTGCAAAGACGGAAAAGGTGTGTGGCGTTAAGGCTGGGGGGGAGGCTGCTGTGCTGCTGCCGCTGCATGCTGTGACATAGCTGCCGGGGACGACATGGACTGGACCATGGGCTGCGCTGGTGGGGGTAACGGAGGCTGAGCCTGCTGGGCCCCTGAGTGTGTGTTGGGGGAAGGTGGTGGCGTTGGTCGCTTGAATTTGTCGGGGCTGGTGCTTCTTCTTGGGGAGGGCCTCTGTTTGAGATTAAAAACAAAAAAATAAAAAAATAAATGTAGTACTGAGGCGGAAGTGTTGAACAAAAACAACTGGTTGGAAACACACAAACTGATACATAAAAGGAGCCACTGGTTGAACATAAAAATGAGAGAAGACAAACAGACGCTCTTTTTTAACAGTGTTTTCAAGTGTCCAGACTGATGTCACAGTGACCTGAGTGAGAAGCTGATAGTGTTCCCGTGGGAAATGCCTTGAGGAAAAAGAGTTCTTTTCTTTCCGGTCCTATGAAACCAGGGCAAAACCAATGCTGATGCACTGACAGAGGCAGAAGCTGAGTGACTTCTCTGATGTTAAAGTAAAGCATGATAAACTCTACATATAGTAATACCAATACCTGTAACAGCCTTTCTGGATGGTACTTTATCAGTTAAAGTTGAGTTGAACTCTTCTTTTGAAAAAATCATTTGTTATTAGAATTAATAATATAATAATAATTATTATATAATCACTTACAACTCAGGTCCTCAGTTATGTGCCTTGAACAATTACATTTTCAACTTAATCTATATCATATACTTAAACTAATCAATTAAGTGTATTAAATAATGATATACTAATAATAATACGAGGGTTATATCACATCATATAACTACTACAACTACTTCCTACAAAGTACAAGTCAGGGCAGAATCTGCATCATTTTCGATCACCATCCAACTGAACTTGACAAAACAACATGTTCGTCAAACCCACGTTTCTTCCATCTGATACGGTTACCGTATTACCCTACAACTGGCACTATTTTTAGTATTTTTAGGCTGCTCCTGTTACTTGTATTCCAAACCAGCTTGTGTATAGAAAATGATGCCTCACGATACTTATGGCCTCAGGTGGCCCTAGTGTCAGTTGACACTCTTGACAGCTGAACACAGACATAGAAGCTGAGGATTTAAGGAGTCAGGAAGATGAGTATATTTCACTGCATCTACTCATGGGACATTCATGTGGGATTTTCTAATACTGTATGTGCTGTAGATCGAAAACAGTCCAAGATTCGACAAGAGTATTAAAAAAAAGTGAGGGCATGGGACAGATGTGTGTTTGTGTGCGTGGATGGCACTTACTGCTACGGCATGAGAGGAGCTTCCGTGGATGTGCAGGGCAGGAGTATTGTAGTGGGAGATTGCAGCTCTGGACAGTGTGGCTGGAGGAGTGAAGCCAACTGTGTGACTGCCATATGAAAGACCTGTAACACAGTGGAGTGGTTAGTAAAAGGAAAACCAAACTGGACACAACAAAAAGGAGAGGCAGAGCTCCAGCAGCTTCGCTAATTTACTGAGCAAACATCTTTAGTAGTAACCTAACACTCCACTAAAGTGATGACTTTATACAGCTAATCACTGCACTGTGTTCAACATGAGCACTTTTTAGTACAAAGACTCATCCTCTCATCCATTATCGCCCTTTCGCTCTCTGCCAAAACTGAACACTGAGCTTGAATCTGTCTTTTTTTTCTCCTCTACTTTGCATTGTTAACTGAAATTCAAAACAACATTCACGCCATAAAAATAGCTTTTTTAATTTTTATTTGAAAATGTCATGTCCGGGCTTGATGTTCTTGGATTGAGTTACTGACTGGGATTTATTTAATATATTTCTCAAACTTTCAGTATATTGTGGCAATGGACTAAAATGTGACCAGGTCCTTTTTTGTTTTTTGTATTATTGGTCATCGTAACTGGTACTACCTTTGTATGTCCTTTTTTGTTTTTAGTATTATTGGTCATCGTATTACCTTTGTATTTTATTTACATTACATTTATGTCGGAAAGTATTTATATATTTTTTTTCCATAACTTGTATGTTATTTTATTACAAAATTGTTTAGTTTACAAACACTTATTTATATGAATTTACTTTTTCCACCCCAGTATTTGAAAATTATTATATTTAATTATTATTTTAACAGGAAGAACAATTACAACGAGTAAGATATAATGAGTAACTGTGTTAAAGTGTTTTGGTTCCCCCACCAGAATCGAGCAGTCCCAGGGCCTACCACATGACCAAGACGCTACTGTACATCCAACATACCAGGTGATATGGGCCGGCTGGAGCTGGGGGAGGGGGTGTAGGGGATGGGGCTGGAGACGGTCCTTGCTCGAAGGCCCTGTGCAGACATCTCGTTGAAGTACCTAATGAGATGAAATGAGACAAACAAACAAATTAAGAGAATGAGATATTTGAGCCAGCAGCTGGGGTTATGGACGTGATCGTTGACTAGTCCTTGGTGCAAACAGCTATTACTGAACCACATCTGATGTGCTGTTAATGTTAATGGCTGCATTACAGTGCATTAGTTGTGCAGTGTAAAAAAAACAAAAAAACAAAAACATTCAGTTAATTGCGTGGAAACTTTGTTAACTGTCTGTAAATCAAAATGTGCCAGTGGTGAATTCCAAAAATAGAAATAAGTCAGCTGTACCTAATTAGTAACTAAATAACAGACTTCAAACTGGTGTTACTGGTTTAGAAGAAGAACAAGAAGAGCTACAGATCAATGAGGTTTTCTGTCTGCACTTTTAACATCAGTTCTGCTTCAAATGTTAATTACAGACAATATAACAATTCACTTTCTAATATGTGCAAACATTAACTTCAGTAAATGTAGCTGACATTAAATAATGCATGTGTTAGTCAGGTTCATACTTTAATCAGATTAATGATATTATATATATAGAAATATATATAGTATAATGTTTGAGCTTGACTTAAATGAATAATTTCTTTGTGTAAACTATTATGTCAAGAGAATAAAGATTTAAATAAAGAATACAACGACAGAGAGGAGTGAAAAGAGACACCGAGACAGACTCTATGGACAGTGAAAGTCCTTCGTCCAATTTGAGTCAGTTTACCAGCCCAGGTCTGAATGTGGCTTTTATTAGTTCAGATGGCCCCAGGTCCCGCCCCCTTTGTTGTCATTCTACCAAATGTAAACTTTCTTCATCAACTCAGCTGTGTTTGTTACAGAACAGATCAATAGATGGTTTAGGTCAATGCCTGCACCACCTGCAACCTTGATAACAGGGACTTAATCAGAATCAGAAACACAGTGTGTGGTTCCCGAGTGTTTTATATTCTACAATCATGCATCTCTCTCTCCCTCACACACACACATTTACATTTACCTCTCATCATCCATCTCCAGGCTGGATTCACTTTCTGACAGTTGCCTGCACAGCGCCTCCCTGCGTTCCATCTCCCTCTGGAGTTTTCTCTGCAGGCGGATGTTCTCCTCCCTCATGTGCCGCTCCTCCTCTATGTACTGAGCTCGCTTCTCTGTGTCTACAGGGGCGTGAGGCAGACAGCATTAGCTAAAATGGAATTATGTGGATTATGCATAAGTGATGAACTGCAGTGATGTTGTCGATGCATAGAGAACACAACCACCAGGATCGTTTACCGGTCTTTGGCGATGAAAAATGGCGTTGGAATAACAGGTTAGCAGTACGGCAACGCTGTATCTCTGTTATCCACAGCCAATTAGCTCATCGTCATATACAGTACCTTGCCATAGAATGCGCGTATGGCTCTCTCTAGTGGCCAAACGGGAGAATTACATCCATTCCTGACAAACCTGAAATCTATCAATAATTGTGACTTAACAGCAGGTTTATACTTGAATATGGTGTTAAGTAATGGGTTGTGTAGCGTTAGACTTTTATCACGTCCTAAATTAATTATTGACTTATTGAATTATTGAGTTATTTTTTAAATCATTTGAATAACAACATTTCCCAAGCATTTCACGTAGTGGTCGAAGGGGTTCGGAATTTTGCAATTATTGTTATTTTTAAATTATTTAAAGCAAAAACTAAATAAAAGAAGCAAAGTTTAATACTGCTAGTATAAAAAAGTCTATAAATTAAAAAAACACAAATCAAATCAAAACTCCTCATTCCTCGAACACTGACCAGCACTGAGTGTGTGTTTTTTTTTTGTTTTTCACATCCCTGGTCACATCTTCAGTCAACATTTGAAGACATCCACCTGTTCCAGGCTTATAGTTCTAGTGTATCCCATGACAACTTACGCTGTAGCTCAGTGGTGCGCAGACTTTTCTTCAGTCTCTCCACTTCATTCTTCAGGAAGCGGATGTGCCGCATCATGTTCTCCGGCGAGTCGATCTCCATGGAAACATCTCTCGGGGAAGGAGGAGCCGACACAGGCTGGGCCAACTTCTCCTGAAGAATTCTTAGGGTTTTAAGAACAAAAAAC